TTAAAATATTCCCCCAGCATGACCAGCTGAAAAGTTCCCTGAATCCCTCTAAAACCAGCAAAAAGATCGGCAAACCAGGTTTGGCTGGTTTAAAATGTTTTGTTTTTTCAGCAGGGAAGTATTGTGTTCTGTGAAACAATTAACTTTCATTTTTTTGCAAATAAATCGTTTTGGCAAGGGATTGCTGCAGCAAATCAAATCACACAAACTCCCCGAAGCCAGCAGGATGTGGACCAGTAATTTCTTATCTTTGTTGTTCCCCAAGCAAAATATTATCTTAGTATTAGCCTTTGTTTGCATTGAAATAATCATGTATTTTGCTAAAGAGCATAAAGTGTTATATAATAGCAAAGTTATGGTATATTATAGTATGGAACTAATCATCTTACTTACTATTTTAAAAGCTTTAAAGTGGGAATGTGGCTTTCCAGAGCATCCTAGCACACTCACACAAGTTGTGAAATGCTAATTATGAAAATTGCCAAAATTCTTTGTTATCTGCTAGACATAGATGCAAATATGCTGCTGCATCTCGTTATAAAAGCAAATGTTCATTTTGTTATCATCACTTGTTTTGGAAGGGAGGATTGAAAGAAGGGTGGAGGGATGTGTTTGTATCTCTGTTCTCCATGAGCTGATGAGTGAGCTAATCTCCTGGGCAGGCATTTGATTCAAGCCGCATTAGCTTTTCACACTAGTTTTAGCCTGCAATTGGACACATCAGCAGAAGTGCGGAAGGAACTTGTTGCTGTCTGGTTGCAAAGCCGTCTGGTATGCGTGTTTGAGAGTGTGTTCTTCTCTTAGGGTGGGATGAATGACTGATTTGATTGTTGCTGTGAGACACAGCTGGGACCAAAACACCTTCTGTAATGGCAGCCCGCTTTATTTTGGCTGTTCCTTTTCTCCCCTGAGAGAACGACAGCAGAGTGTGCACTGATGAATGGCATCGCTACGGTCTCAGGGCTCTTTTCGATGTCTGATAAACATGTGCACAAGTTAATCAGAGCCGTGAACTGTATGTGATGACACAGACTATGTCCCAAATATTTCAGAATTCTGTCTCAGACACTTTGCAAACTGTCCCTAACCAGGAGAGATGTGATAAATTTATATGATCTCTTTCATGTTGATCTGATATCTTGGGATATTTTGTCAGACGGTTTCTATTTTTGACACATAACGCTGGATATTTTAGTCCATTGTTTTGTATCTTTGGGCAGTACTTAGCGTCAAGTGATGACAAAAAGGTAACTTGACACTGCAGACCTGGTACATTGTGACTGGTTAGGAGACAGTATGTCTTTGGCACGTCATACTTCCATAGACTACTGTTAAAATGTATGCATTTATTTGATGAAAAATACAGTAAAAAAATTTAATATTGTGAAATATTATTTCAATTGAACATAATGGTGTATATTTAAATTAATGGTGTTTTATTCGTATGATGGCAAAGCTGAATTTTCAGCCAGCTGAATTTTTTTTCCAGTCTTCAGTGTCACATGATCTTTCAGAAATAATACTAATATGCTGATTTGATGCTCAAAAAAATCTTATTATCATTGTTGAAAACAGTGCTGCTTAATAATTTTGTGAAAACTGATGCAGTTTTTTCAGGATTCTTTGATAAATAGAAAGTTCAAAAGAACAGCATTTACAGTATTTAACATTATAAATGTCTTTAATTTCATAAATGTATTAATTTCTTCCCAGTCACAGAAACTTACTAAAAAATTCTGGTAACACTGTAGAATAGGGACCACATGTTCACTATTAACTAAGAGTTTTCCCTGAACAAACTCCTAATTTGCTACTTATTAATAGTTAGTAAGGTAGTTGTTAAGTTAAGGTATGGGGTAGGATTAAGGGATCTAAAATATGGTCATGCAGAATAAGGCATTAACATGTGCTTTATAAGTACTAATAAACAGACAATATGCTAGTAAAATGTATGCTAATAAGCAACTAGTTAATAGTGAGAATTGGTCCTTAAAGGGATAGTTCACCCAAAAATGAAAATTTAGGCCTACTCACCCTCAAGGCATCCTAGGTGTTTATGACTTTCTTCTTTCGAACAAAACCAATCGAAGTTATATTTAAAAATGTCCTGGCTCTTCCAAGCTTTATAATGGCAGTGAATGGGTGTTATTTTTCAATAGTCCAAAAGAAGTGCAATAAAGTGCATCCATCCATCATAAAAAGTGACCCACGTGGCTCCGGGGGGTTAATAAAAGCCTCCTGAAGTGAATCAATGTGTTCCGGCAGATGACGTAGGACGTAGGCGCAGAGTAAGCTCTGGTGAGAAGTGTCAAATGCAGAAGTGCAGAGGAGAGATCAAAACAAAACACTGGTCACGAATTAGAAGTAAAAAACAAGGATTTTTTAAAGAAAAATATCAGAGGATTTCAATATAATCCAGGAGGAGACTGGTTTTCCTTTGCTAAACATAGGAAACTTCGCTTCCTTTGCTCCTGTAAACAAAATTGTGGTTCTCGTGAGACTAGCATATTCTCACCGGACCTTACTCTACGCCTACGTCCTACATCATCCGCTGGAACGCGAATCTCTCGTGTACGCATGTACGACAGTTAGTGGAAGCTAGAGATTACTGTTTTAATATGGATTATGCAACTCAAGTTTTGCACTTTCACAAATGCTGTCATCATAACTAACAGTGCAAACACAATGTAAATAAGAGATTCATTGTGTGGTGTAGACTGCATAATTAAATAAATAATTAAATATAAACTTGCACTGTGTGTTTGACAGCCACAGCGATTATAAAGGGAGCATTCAATGATCGCTTTCTATATATAATTAAATCACAATTTAAATAACAAATTATTTTCATGCTACTAAGAGAAACAATATTTAGTTGACCGTTAAGTCACTGGCTTGATTTACTGACGCATAAACAGTAATAAATTATTTTGAGACAAAGAACATCTGACTGTACACGAATCATTACATATTAGAAAACACTGATCGCAGATTAGGCATTAGAATTAACATGGTTAACATTTTAAGATTGGGAACCTTTGGAAGAAAATTTTATTTTTAGTCCAGTGATCCTGTATTGCTCATCTCTCCTTCTCATCTCACTAATGCTCCAGTTTGGCGGGGCCAAAGACATGATGATGTAGAAGTAGAAGTAGGCGTTGATCTGATTCTGCAGAGGTGGGCTTTCATCGCACTATTACGTCATAATGTGACAAAATCTTCTGAAATTAGTCATTTTTTGATCAATATAACAAAGAGTGAAAAATGTAAGGGGGTCTGAATACTTTCCGTACCCACTGTATGTCCACCACACACGTTGTACAGAAAGTATAAACTATAGTTGACTTCAAAAGACTTGAAATACAGAACACAAGTTGTTTGGACTACTTCTGTGGTGTATACTTTTATAGTATTTTTTGTCCTTTGGAGCTTTATAGCATGTATTCACTTGCATTACACCAAGAGCAAGTGATTATGCTTTATCAAATGTTCTATTAGGTCATATAGATCTAGATATCTGTATATTTTCATTTTATGGAAAGCAGCAGTGTGAACATTCAGCAAAACATCTGCCTTTGTGCTCCAGGGATGAAAGAAAGGCATTGGTTTGGAACGACATGAGCTTGAGAAAACAATATCAGACTTTAATTTTTGATAAACTGTTCTTTTTAATATTTGGGGAATTTAATTATCCTTTTTAGTATGTGGGGTACAATGTATTTATTATCCTTGAAGCTACATCATTTTTTCATCGTATTTAAATCCAACTCGCAATATTCATCAAAATAATAGTATTTATTTTATGGCTGGAGCATCTTCCCTTTGCTAGAAAGGAGGGGAGGCTGACTCAGTGCTAATGCCCGTCTGAGTTTAAAGTGTGTGCTGTCACACCGAATGAGCTAATGTTAAGTTATTTTAAACCCACGAGGGAGGAAATCCCTCCTGCAGACAGAGAAAACTGCTGGGTCCTGCCTTCACAGAGATACACACAACCACACTCAGATTGAGATGCACAATCTGTATCAACAGACAGATGCTACAACAAAGACACATCAGACTCTCAAATACACACAAATACAGCAACTCAAATGAGGGAGAGAAAGAAAACATGGCAGAAAATAAGTATCAGAGACCAAGACAGAGGTGTTTTTCAACTGTTTTGTTGCGCAGATTATATCTTCTTGATCTTCTCTGTCAAACAAATTTCCAGATTTACCACAATAGCCACTGGAGTTTCACATATGCCCCATTATTCAGTGAAAGTCACAGATGTATTTGCCATTCCCAATCCTGGCTGCTTTCAATGTTGCTAGGCGGCCCTTTGAAATGATTTTTTCCTTTTTTTGTTTTTTTAAACTCTAATGAAACAATTGTTTGTGATCGTGAATTTCTTTGAATGTGAGCAGGTTTGCTTTGGCCTCGTGCACCAACAGGCCCAGATGTTCAAAAGTGTGTTGTGATGTTCATTCCAGCTCTGACCTTCAGCTGGCATGCACCTTCCCCAGGCTCCAGCGCTATCGCCACTTTCTTAAACAAGCTTGCAAACCCGCTCGCATTACACCAAAAGCCAGTGATTACACCTAATCAAATGCATCATGTTCTATTAGATCATTTTCTGTTGTTATTGTTTTGTGAATTGACCTCATTTAGTGCCTCAATCCTCATCAAACCCACATTTATGGCTTACCTACAGTTGTTTTTTGTGCTTTAGACTTAGACGTGTATGTTGTTTTGAATGAATGAAAGACTAAATTCTTGCTTGAACCTCAGCATTTTAACCTACAGTCCTTGTCAACATTTCCCTTTGAGGTTTTGTTGTGAAATATTCTCTGTCCACCTCTGTCTTTTACTGTAGTGTGCTTTGGCCATTCTGATTGTGACCTGAATTCCCTTAAATTACAGTTCAGTACCTTCTGCCGGTGTTTAATGGTGCTGAGCTAGCATCCTGCTGGACGATACCAACATGGTTTGTGTTTTTGTTTTTTTTCCCATAACAGAAAATGGGCATGACAGAAGATGATAAGAGGAACTGCTGCTTGGTGGAGATTCAGGAGACAGAGGCAAAGTACTACAAGACACTGGAGGACATTGAGAAGGTGAGTGGGAGAGCATAGAGAGTTTTAGAGCTGGAGAGAGTGGAATTGAAGACCTGGAATTGGGTCAAGGTCTTGATAGGGTTCTCCGAGGAAAGTGAGGTAGCTCAAAATAGATGGAGGGAGAGGACAAAAAATGAGAACTGAGCCCTAGGTGACAAGTGTACTTAGGTGGCCTGTTGAATTATTCTGATAAGAATTATTCTGATTTAAGACCTCCGTTCATCTGTAAATGCGCATTCACGACAGTATCATGACACGAGCGTGTGGCGGCGCTGACCCAGAGCTGGCGTAATGACGTCATTATGCTGGATCTGGGTCAGCGCCACCACACGCTCGCATCATGGTACTGTCGTGAACGGGAGTCCAAAGTGAAGCAGTAGAGACGAAAATGTGAAATAAAATCTTTATTTTTGTTTTCTTTGCGCAAAAAAGTATTCTCGTAGCTTCGTAACTTTACAGTTGAACCACTGATGTCACATGGACTACTTTGTCGATCATCTTGGTACTTTTTTGGACCTTGAACATGGTAGTTACTAGGGCTGGGTTTTGACACAAATTTCACTATTCAATTCTTAATCACAAGCTTTTGATTCGATTACCTATTCGATTCGATTAAATATAGATTATTTTGGATAGATATCAGGTACAGTACTTGCCAAATTTTCTCAAGGAAAAAAAATCTCTCAGCTAATGCTGTAAAATATACATGAGAGTCAGTTGGTAGGCTACTACATTACTATAATATTGAAGGTTAAAATTAATTAAGTTTTTACAATAAAGTTACAGTTACATAATATTTCTACTTCAGTTAGTTTTTTTTTTATATAAACATTTACATGGTGGCTGTCATAAAAACTTGATGGATTTATTTAAACATAAATTAAACATTGAAGAACAGTAAAAATATATATAATGAATATGTTGGACCTTGAACATGGTAGTTACTAGGGCTGGGTTTTGACACAAATTTCACTATTCAATTCTTAATCACAAGCTTTTGATTCGATTACCTATTCGATTCGATTAAATATAGATTATTTTGGATAGATATCAGGTACAGTACTTGCCAAATTTTCTCAAGGAAAAAAAATCTCTCAGCTAATGCTGTAAAATATACATGAGAGTCAGTTGGTAGGCTACTACATTACTATAATATTGAAGGTTAAAATTAATTAAGTTTTTACAATAAAGTTACAGTTACATAATAATATTTCTACTTCAGTTAGTTTTTTTTTTTATATAAACATTTACATGGTGGCTGTCATAAAAACTTGATGGATTTATTTAAACATAAATTAAACATTGAAGAACAGTAAAAATATATATAATGAATATGTTATATGGTGCATATATTAAGCAAAATGTCCCTCTACATTTAATTTTTCTATATGACTAATGAGTTTATGGTCACCGAATATGTTTTTTTTT